GGGGTGACTCACCACGAATTATTAGATCAGCTTTGCAAATAGCGATATTGACACACTACTCTGCTAGCGCATTAGAGCTCTTCCTGGGAACCCTTGGAGCGAAGGAGAAAGGTCCTTTCTCAGCTTCCCTCACCGTGCTCTCAGAGCCTATCTCCTTTCTTTAGTCAGGTGTGACCAAAGGCAATAAGAATGATTTTTAAACATCATTTTTAAATCAATATGAGAACTCCAAAATTGTTCTCTGTAAGGATCTACATACACACATCCTTGTTCAAAACGTGTGGAACTGTACTTGGAGAGCGGCTTTCAGAGCCTGGTGAATGCTGCCTTTCCCTGCCACTAGACATCTTCAGCCTTTAAGCTTGAGTCTGATTTTTTAACACAGCATAGAACATTGGAAGGCAGACACAGGGGATTATTAGATCAAGGTGTGACTTTCAAAATAGTTTTCCTCGATAGCTCATAAATAAACTGGGAAGGCAGTTGCAAAATAGGTGTTTCAATTATGTTGTAGGAAGCAGCGCAAAGTGCCCCTGAAAAACGACAAGATTCCGCTGGATTATTCCAGGGTGCTTATTTAAAAATCAAAACAGACAATAGATTGGTCTTGTAACTGTCACAGAGTTTATACAGCACAAAAGCAACCTACTGGACTTGAAAGAAGTGTGACCAGGTACAGGGACGTGCAGGTCATACTCCTGAGGACGGGGTGTGGGGCCAGGAGTGAACCCAGTACCTGAGTGCTCTCAGCAAAATGCACCACCAAGTCTGTCCCCTCATGGGCCCCCCATATCCACTGACCCCCACCGAACACTTTGTTATACAAAGTTATTTCTAAGCAACGAAACAGATAAAGGTCTAGGAAGGCCAAGAGTTAGAATGAAAGAGACAATAGGGAGGAAAAGACCTTTTTTTTTTAAATTTATAGACTTCTATATCACCTATACAAGGAGTGTATGTTAACATTCAAAACATTAAGAAATGCTCAGGGAATTAGAGGCAGAGAGTGATACATGTAATCCACAAAATAATTAACTCCCTGAATAATACCTGAATTAACTCCCTAAACCATGGCTTCTCTTTGGAGCTTCGTAAAGGACTCATCTCTGTAAATTCAGAGATATATTTTCAAGCTGTTAGCTACTCCTCTTTTCCCACCTGCCCCAAATTTATCAAATTGTGCTAGTTTCTTTAGTGAAACTGAAGACTTGTCCTGAAATAAAGACTCATATCATTGAACTTGTTCCTAACTTTCTTCTCCTCCCTCCCTCTTTTTAAAGACTGACTTTTGAACAGGACGTAGAGCGTGGCAACACGGACGGCCTGGGAGACTGTCACAGTAAGTACCGCTTTTTTAGCCAGGTGTATCTTCGGGCAGAGATGCTTTTACTGAATGGCACAGAAACATGACCCCCCACGTGTGGAGCTGAGCGTAGCTGCCTCTAAGACATGAATAGCAGAAATCAGCTGCTAAATATCAAATAAAGAAAACAGCGTGTTTTAAAGCCAGTGCTGCCAATGTTGCATAAACCCTGGCACCTATTTCATTATGATGATGCTGTGCAACAAATTCACTCTAGAGGATACTAATTATAGCAGAGAAATAAGTTGTATCAGCATTTCCATTTAAAAACCAATTTTGTTTTTTTTACAAATATGCTACTGCCATAATTTTTAGCCAAATAATAAAAAGACTGGTCACTGTACTCTAGCTTTTTAATTGAACAGGGACTGTTTTATTTTTCTTGAACGTATCGACTAACAAAAGCAATTATTTCTTTAAGTTAGATTTATGTCTGTTACCATTTGCAGTAGAAAAACTTTTCAGGAAGAACCCACTAAGTATAATTTCTTTAAGAATTAGCCTACTATGCTAATCTCAGAGTTCATTTCAAAAGTTATTAAATGCTGACATTCTAGGTAGAACCTTATAAAAAGGATCCTGGTGAAAGCTCTTCCCAGTTGCCCAATGATCTGATTGATATCAATATCCTCTTGAAAACGCTTTATTAATGCTAATTTAGAGAATAATGCCATACTCTTGGAAAATGTTTAGTCTGCCATGTTTTAAATGTTCTATGTGATGAATTTCAAGAAGCTTGCATTCAAAATGAGACCAAAAATAGCTCCTACACGAATGAAACTTCATTACTTCTGATATTTGATTCAATAATGAAAATCATGGCTGTGACTCTAAATCTTTGAGCCATGAGTCCTGAAATTACAGACTCTAAGGTGTCATTCAATACCTTATCTTTTGGGGGGAACAGACATAATCAAATAAAGAGGTCTGCAGACAACCTCATCTCCAAATTCTTGGTCACGTATCTTTTCTGTTTGTAAATACATATTGGCAAAAGCTTCTCACTATGTCTCCACACACAAAGCTGCATTAAGAATTAGCACAGGAGACAGTGTCGTCACCACAAGATGTGTGTGGTGCGTGCAGTGAAACACTGTGATACGTCATGGTGGATCTTAGTTGGTGCCTTTTGACTCCATTTTCCAGGAAACAGGTTTCGGTTTGTGTGTCTATGCAAGCGAACTTAACTAGCTGGCTTCAGTGGATAATTTTCTTCATATTTTTATGATCTGGTGATATGGGCATCTGTAGAAAAATAGGGATGTTGGTTTCGATTGAATAGGTAAATATTTGAAAAATATGAAAATGGGTGTTAGTGGCCCTACAAAGCGTCCACAGCACCAGGAGGCTCACACCACGCCTGGGTCCTAGGGCAGAGGAACCTAGCAGAGCTTCTGTATCTAGCACAGCGCAGACCCTCAGGTCCCAAGCCATTGATTTCCTCTTTAACCTCAGTGGTCAGGCCTCCAGCTGAGGGGGCAGGGAATAACTCAGTGGTAGAGTGCATGCTTAGCATGCATGAGGTCCTCGGTTCAATCCCCAGCACCTCCATTTAATTCATTAATTAAGTAAGTAAGCAAGCAAGCTAAGCCTCCAGCTGAGACGCATAGTCCACCCGCTCCAGGCAGGAGGTAACGCCTCTCCTGGTGACCTCCCTGCTCCGGGGCTCCTGCTGGCACATGACCTACTTCTATCAGACATACCTGTTCACACCCAGGGCTCAGGGGATTTAGATATGTGGTACACAATGACATTTTAACAGGAGTTTCAGTGGAAATGAGGAATCACAAAGAGCCAGTCTCAGAGGCTGAGTAGCAGGCTGAGTGAACCAGTGATCTGATCCAGACACACACACATGTATATACATGTTGCCTGTGTGTGTGTGTGTGCTTCTTTTTATTTTGAATCACCTAACTAAGCCCCGCCGCTGAGTTCAGAACATGGTGATCCTAAACAGTTCCTCACAGCACGGTTGGGAGGACGAAATGAGATAATGTAAGGAGAGGTGCCGTAAGTGTGGTCCAGGTGTCACCTACTGTGCCACGTGCACGTCCCTCTGTGTGGAGCAGGGCTTGCATGTAATTGCAGTTGCTATTCCTTCCGCTAATCTTGCCTTTTCTCCGCCTTTTGGCAACAAAGGCATGGCTCTGAGGAGACTCACTTGGGAAAGAGATACAGGGATGTGAAATCAGACCTAATATAAAGCATCTGACATTACAAGCAGAAAGTAAACAGCACTTACTTAGTACTGGGGGTCAGATGTTGGCACAGCTCTGTATTAGCTCCCTCCCACTTAGTATGGAAGTCACACAGAGCAGATTGTTAAACATTAAGTGACTTTCTCCTCCCTTTTGTCTTTCAGATTCCTTCGTGGCACTGAATGGTAAGGAAGACATTATTCATAATTTAATATCGACGGAAATCTATTTGGGAAATCCTGTTTCACTAACCCTCTTGAGGATTTTCAAATCTTACAATTCTTTTTAAATTAATTTTTTAATTCTCATCATTTTTTATAGACATTTCAACTCCTCTACCAGATCATGAAATGTCTTACAACACAGTACATGGTCAGTTTGGATTTTTTTTTTTATTCTTCAAGCCACTCATCCTTTGGTAGCATATAGTCTTCATTCCTAAACATCATGGACCACATTCTTTGTTATATCAGGGCCCCAATTCACTAAAATTATTCATAGATTTCATGATGCTTCAAAAATTACTCTACCTATAATATGAGACAACTGACATGTGAGAATGACCCCTACATTTTTAATCCATGTAACATGAAAGATGCCAACCTTAGGGAATTTGGTGAATACATTTAATGAGTTCTTGAGGGAGAAGAAACTGGACATACATACATCCAGATAAAAGAACAGTGCTTATAACTAACAGGACATACATAGCTCCATTAACTGACAGACAGTACCATTCCCCAAAATGCTGACTTTCAGGACAGCACCCTCCGCAGGGAAAATCCATGCAGAGTGCAGATGCCAAGTTCTTATTAGGCAGAACTTTCCAGTATAGCTGTTGAAATTTAAGCTCAGAAAGAGTATGAATATTTAGACGTTATCTTCAGTGAGATTTCTTTAAATGTATACAAGGAAGAGTAACACACTGGAAATGATGTGGCAACATGATTCATCCCATTGTTCCTGCTCTGAAACACACAGATCCTGTACTAAACAGAACCAGTCAGTCCATAAGCAAAATATTGAGTGCTTTATAAGAAAAGGTTCCACTTCTCAAGCTTCCCCCAAATGTTTCTTAAGGTAAACTATTTATCTGTTTTTTTAAAGATAGAAAAAAACATATATGTAATGGCAAATTTAAACTTCTACATTATCATGGGGACAAGTTTCACTGACATGCAGACATTTTATCATTTTTATGTTTAAGACATGTAACAGTAATAGCTCTGAGGCAGTCTTTTAATGGAGACCTAGGTAATAAAGGAAGGGGAAAAATAAAGAAAAAAGAGGAAAGAAGACACAACATTGTGAAATGATTATAAATCAATAAAAAATGTTAAAAAAAAAAAGAGGAAAGAAAAGAAAGCAAGGTGGATTCAGGATTCAAAAAAACAGTTCAAGATGGCTACCGAGGTGTTTGGTAGAGCTGTGGAGACTCTCACTCCCTGTGTCTAATTAGCCTCTTTGAAAGTCCTGAAGGCAATCTCATAAAATGGGGCCATGCAGATTTGGAAAACAGTGCCTGGTTTCTCCTGTCGTGAAGTCAGGCATCGCGGAGCAGAGGAGCCCACTGAACGCATCCACCTGCAACATTCTCTCCTCTCAGATTCAAGCCACAATACTGAACCACCAGCGTCTGGAAGAAAAGTCCCCCAGGAGGCAAATGCCGCCTAGTTTAGCTTGCTCTTCAGAAGGAGAACCCACTTAGCATCTGCTCTTCTCCAGTATCATACTCTGCAATCACTTCCTATAATTGAATAATCTGTATCAGATACTGAGAGATTCGGGTCTTGAGTCTAATTGAACCAGCAACCTCCCCGGCATTCATCAGTCATACTAAGACCAGTTCTAACTCCCAGGTAATTTCTCCTGTAGACAGAATAATTAAACCACGGGGTGCTCTTTATGAACAAAAATCACTCTCCCATTTATGGATCTCTCTTACTGTCTTTACAAAAGGAAAAGAACTTATTAATTCCTCCACATTAACACTTTAAAGGACAGTGCCCGGTCAACCCTCAGCTCAATCACTGGTTTCTGTGATGAAACTAAAGATTTGAAATTTTCCTTTCAGCTAACGATGCTGTCCATTTCAAGCTAAATCGCTCCAGTGGAAAGTGGTTAGATTATTAAAACCAAATTGCTGGGGGTTTTTTTGAACATGGGTGTAGACCAAGAAGTCAACCCCAAAGTCCAAAGTGCACCCACTGTTTCTAGCTGTGTCCTCTAGATGTTTCCATAAAATTTCAGTGGCTCAGTGAAGACTTACAGAGTGACCCACAGAACCAGCACTGCCTCACTCTGAAAAGGGATCATTCAATAAACCATGCAAACTCTCTGTGGGGCAAAAGCTCTGTGCAACACCAGTCACATATACAAGAACCCCTTTT